GCTATTTAAACCACCAACGTCAATTTATTAGTAGCCTTCAGTGTCCCATTAGTGTACACCTCGGCATAGATGTCACCATGGATGTGTCACACTAGACTCTGCACACTATCTTGAACGGGGACGGACACATTCTGCTTCTGGCCACTGATATCGAACTGGTGTCGTGTCATCTCTCTATCGTGTTAAACTGCTTCACCGGTCATCCATCTCCACAAGGTGTGATCACAATTTTTATGCGTTGAATCTACCAACATTTTCCCTCACGGACAACGCTTCCAACGCCACATTTTCTACGGCACCGGCTCGCTAACGCCGTCACGTTGAAACAATGCAAGGGCATTTTTCTCGTAAATAGCTGTAAATTATCAAGCAGTTTTTGTAGTACGCCACTTAGCTGTGTACTTTCTTTCTCAATTGTTATTACTAGGTTTCCTTACTTCGCGGTGGGCATTCGCACAGCTGAGAGTGGCGTCTTCCACTGCGTGAAGGCATCGGGGTCTATTCTCGCACACCACCACTGCCTTGTCGGCGAGAACCGCTTCCGGACAAAGGAGGACTGCGCCCGAGGTGCCTGCAGGGATGATTATCACGTCTGCCAATTTACATCACCGTTTATATGCACCCACGAATATATATCTCACCCGCAGTAGCTGCGCCATTAGGAATGAAGGCATGTTGCGAATGTTTTTTCGTCATCGATCGTGATATGTTGTTATAATAAATTTTACTAATAAAGTTTTCCCAGCCTCTTGATTGAACCTATTATTATTTATTATTTTACGTGAGCCAGCTCTCGGGGTATTTAAGTTCAAACCAAACGGAAGTTGTGCTACGGAAACTGGACTTGAAGGTGGAGAGAGAAAGACGCAAGGAGACAACAACATATAAATTTCTTGCCTCCACCGATATCACCGCAACTGAAGATGCAGATGGGAAGAATAAGAAACGCACACAGCAACTCACTACAGTCTAGCACATAACGCCTGTGTACAGGGGCTTCCTGTTTGTTGCATCATTTTCAGCCGACCTGCTTTTTACAGATCTAAAACTCCGTCGGTGGATACCATATAGTGAGACGAGAAAGCTTTCAAGAGCACCATTTTGTGACATATCTCTTCTATCAATAACAGCTTCTTGTATTTTATAGCAGCCTGCAGGCATCAGCTTATTCTTGTAGATACACGTCCATGTGGACTGACACATCAGAGGAGAAGGCAAAGCGAAAAAAAAATGGCTCTGTATCTGCATGCTTCACTGCAAATGTCGCTTAAAGACAATAGTATTGCGTCTGGAGAGAGTGAACAAAGCGTTTACTTGATGTTCTGCGCGAGAAAACTGAGGAACTGTATTCTGGAGGCACTGCGTTAGAGTGCCTCGATCTGTGCAGCGAAGGCGAACGAGCACATGGAGGCACATGAGATACGAGCGCTATCTGGCACTTATCTTCGAAAACGAAGGAAGGCATGTGCGCCTGTCTCTGTGGCGGTAAGATGTCGAACGCAAAGTAACGGGCAGGTGCCACCACCGTGGCATCTCGGCAAAGTGATGGAAACACTTGCCTTTTCGTGCATAGCGTTGCATTGTCAGTGCGGTGTCATAAACGCTACGGTCCTTAGAATTAATTATGCCTTATCTGGTATAAAGATACACATACAGAACACTGACGTGTTGTTATTGTGCCTCAGATACGCACAGTAATTTGTTTCTATTTGACAATCCACACAAGTATGAACGCTAAATCTTAAGCATATTTGGTGGGCGCTGGGGAAGGTGTTCGATTTTAACCGTTTGAGGTGTCGTTTCGGTGGACAAACAAATCAATGTACAGACAGACAGACAGACAGACCGACAGACAGACAGACAGACAGACAGACAGACAGACAGACAGACAGACAGACAGACCGAAGTTTTTGCGCCGAAATACCCCATGAACGACTATCGTCTTAATAATCACAGCCATCGAGTTTCATGCAATAATATCTAGAGAGGAATCTGGTGCTAGTGTATACGCAGGCTCCTCCAGCGGCGCATGTATACCCAAAGGGATTTATGGAAGGTAGAGGCTTGGGACCTTCGTCGGATGAATGAGGGTATTTCGATTCACGACGCTTGTTTGCCAACTGCAAAACAAAGTGATATGAACTTATATTCAATTGAAACTTGCTTAACTTATTTGCTTGCTTCAAAACGTTCTCGTGACGAGGCGGGAAAAGTGAAACCTGGGCAAATTTATTCATTGCATGCATGGCTCCGCCATTGCATTCCGGATCTGGCATAAAGATATAATGAATCATTTTTACAACACTTGAAAACAAGCCTGATTGTTTTTATCTAGAAAGTATGTATTATTTATTTATGAAAAGAGCAGAACAGAATTAAGTCAGGAACATTTAACGTTTTGTCTTCTGCGATGCTAGGTGCATCTGTCTGAGCGTTCTGCCCCCAATGTACCTGTAGTTCTGTTATGAAACCGAGTCAGCGGAGCCTGACGGTGCGCTTACTTAGCTTCGTCATCGTTTGCAGTCGATTTAAAACGAGTTTGTACAATAGACGCTCGTGAACAAACATGCAATATCCTGACGTTCTATATCTATTTGTATACCGGTGAGTGAAGGACGCTTTGCCTAAACCGTCAAACATGACTCGTTTAGCTCAAACATTGTAACAAACCAGAATATATAGTGGTCTCCTGTTTCTTCGAGCATTAAATGCCAGAACGCGCGCTGTACGAAGAACGAAACTGAAACTGCGAAAAAAAAACAACTCCCAAGCATTTCCCCGAGGTCCAACATGGTTAAGTGCGAATACACAGGGTGATGCTATGAGGGGGAGTGAAGTTAAAATCCGTGGGCATTCGCCAGTGAGCTCACGTAAACTCCCACGTGTGATCACATCGCGATTCCCAGGAAACCATTAGACCATCTCGGGAAATCTTGGTGTGTTTACGCACGTATGTGAGAGTAAATTCGCACTATAATGATGTTTATGTGTTTTTTATTACGCTCGGAACGTCGATAGGCACGTTCACGATCTGTCACCTAATGCCGTACTGACCATTGCCTCGCGTCAGCCGCCTGATGCTCATGAAGCGGAGTTGAGGCGCTCTTCCACCGGGTTCAGATCGGGGAGGTCCGCGGGACGAAGGCGGCTGCGCGTAGCCATAGCTCTTGCTCAACGGCGGAACCCGCCCGGCCAGCAGGAACTCTCGGCTCGAGGCACACACCCGGAACGCACCTAAGGGAGCCAGCCGCGGGTCTTGCGCATCCATATCGTCGCATCGGTGTTCGCCCGACCGTTTTCTGAACTCGTTCCAAAGAACCCGCAACGCGTTCAACCTGTTGGTCTCGTTCCTCACGCCGGAAATGCAGCTCAGATTGTTGTCAAACCACAGCCGGTCACACATGGCGCAGCTGTGACCGAAGCTGTGATCCACAAAGTCGCGCTTGAAGCGCGCATCTGGACGGGCAATCTCCAAGACCCGCGCTCGCTCACACATCGCGCGTCCCCCCGCCAGATCGGCTTCGGGGGGCTCGGCTCGTTTCATCCGCTTTCGTTCGGCGTCTCGCCGCCGGCCTTCATCACCGCAGGCGATGCGCCGTTTACGTCGCCCATCGACTTCCCGCCCGCGGAGTTCGGGATCCGCGGCCTGCTTCGCCCGCTTGCGCCCTGCATCACGGGCCCTTCGCCGAGCTGTCTTGTCTTCAACCGGCGCAGCACGCGCAATCACGTGGTGTGTGACGTCACTGCGCCATTGCTACAGACGCTCTTCTCCGCTCCTCGCGCCGTTGCTAGGGGAGAGGAGGAGGTGCACCGCGTACGGCGTATTTAGGGTCGCTTATAAAGTGCACTCGCACTTAAAAGTCTGTAGATAGTTCACTAGCTAACTCAATCCAATGCGAAGCTTGTACTTCCAATAATTCTCATGGAGGTACACGGTCACAGCGCCATTGTTATTATTGTATGAAACTATATGATCACAGCATATCCACCGAGTGAATGATGATGAGTGGGGTGAAGCGTTCCGTCCGCACGTCCATGATTATGTCCATACGTTAGTGCATCCTGTCCGTTCGTTCTTGCTTCCTTCGTGCGCCCGTCCATGCGTGCAACCGAGCGTTCGTCTATGTGTTCGTTTCGTTCATGTGTCCATCCATCCGTCCATTCGTGCATCCGTCCATCCGTGCTTCCGTTCATCTGTCTGTCTGTCTGTCTGTCTGTCTGTCTGTCTGTCTGTCTGTCTGTCTGTCTGTCTGTCTGTCTGTCTGTCTGTCTGCTGAGTGAGTCATACAACTAGGTGCTTACCAACCGGTCACAGACATGCATGGACCGACACACAGCTTTAGGAGCATCGTTCCCAATAATTTGTTGTCTTCCTCGTCGCCTGCTAAAGAGTCGTGTCGCAATTATACACCAATGTCAAATATAGTAAAGTAAACATACAGAGTGGATAATTCAAGTAAAGCTAAAATGTCGTTGAATGTATCAGCCCAAAATGTCACACTCTTTGAATTACCTTTGCTTTTCTCTGAGCACTCCTTGCGTTACATTGAGCTTTGGTACTAAACAATGCGGATTCGGACGACGCTGAAGATGCTGCCGATGATGATGTTTTGAGGCTTATTTATGGTTCACCTTTTCAGCTATATTGGCGAAGAGTCGGGTAGTGTGAAAAATACTGATAAGATGTTAGCATTACGACGTAATATGAGACATGTTTGTAGTCTTCTTATTACTGCAAAGCATTACTGCAAAGCTTCACCTATGGATAGGCATCTTCGTTTGCTGCAATATGCATCGTTTGCATTTGGTCTAGTCGATGGCACCTGCAGCATTAATTTCTGTCCCACGTTTGTTTCTCCATGCTCTAAAAGAGCATGAAGGTATTCGCACTCTCCGCTCCCGCCTTCTGTTTTTACCCCACCGTTATTAGTTTTGAACAGCGATGTCGACAGGCAGAAGAAGAAAAGAAAGCTACGGTGGCGTGTCTAAGTCGTTCCGCAATGCCATTCCTGTATTCGAAGCTTCGTAGACCCCAGCTCCTGGCCGTGTTACTAACGTTCACTGCGGGCCTGCTGGCCGCCGTGTTCATCTTGCGCAAGGTGCGCCGTCACAGAATGGACCCCGTGCTCCTTGCGGACCCCAACAGCCTGTACACAGTCGTGCTGAAGCGCCGCGAGGCGATTGGTCATAACGTCAAGCTCCTCCGGTTCGCCCTACCAAGCTATACACAGGTAAGCCGACGATGGGCCACGCTTATTAATTCGTCGCGTCAGTTGAAAAAAAATATTTTTGTTCAATCGACGCCCCGGCATTAATTTCCTCGATCCTTGGGTACTCAATTGGTTACCATTGTTTAAAAGGCTACAGATAATCACAATTCAATGCCCGCTTCTCCAAAATATTCTTGGCACAATAAAATTGAGTTTATTTCACGAGTGTCTGAGAAGTGGTGCCGTATGAATTGTCATACTCGCAAAACGAGCGAAAGAAGATTACTGAGTATTGCAGGAGCACTTGGCGGTGCCCTCGTGAAAAGTGAAAGATTTTTTTCTTAATTGTTGCGTGAACGACAACGTATATAGTACTTTCCTTTGACTGTGGATGCCGTGCAGATCATAGTAAAGTCATTTCGCACAAAAACTTTCGTTGAATTCAGTCTTAAAGACTTCGAAAAATCAGGAGCATGCGAGTAGGTACTATCACAGTTTGAGACAACCGTCTAATCTTTCAGGTTCATAATTTCTCTGCGTTTCTTTGGAAGGTCAGGGAGTCTAATAGTACAGTTATTCAAAAGCTTTTTCTTTAGTGTATTCCTAAGACAGAGGTGGTTAAAAAGCTTGTGTCGCTTAAATTCCAGCGGCGCTATGCAGGAGCGGCCATGTTTCGCGAAACTCGGGATCTTCCCAAGCTCTGGCGACACCCCCTTATGTACGAGCCAACAGTACGAAAAAGTCAAATCCGTCTCTCAGCGCGCTGCGTTTCATTGGTTACCATGGAACCAGTCATCGCGTCAAGGATGGTTCAATAAGTTGGGCAGTGTTATCAAACCAGAGGCGTCTTCTTTCACTTGTCTGTCGTTCCACTGAGTGCAGCATTGCACCCTGTCATGACTGGGGACTGGCAGTGCAAGAGAGGCCCATCAGCTGAACTCTCTGAAGCGGTGCTCGTCGAGGAGAACGCTGTCTGCGTCCCACATGAGTGCGGGAACACTCCCAAGTGCACTGCAAAGAACGCGCACCGGCTTGCCAGTGACATGCGGTCCGCGTCGCACACGAACGCTGTGACACGCTGTCGGCATTTCAGGAGAAACGTGTGCATTGATATAGGAGGACAAAAAAAAGAGCAGATCCCACGTACAAAGGAAATCGATGATAGGTGAAGCATGAATCAGAAAGGTTCATATGTAACTTTAAAATCAGCACAATGTTACGAGGTGGAGGATAATGATGCCGTATATGACTTACGTGTCATAGCTATCTTGTTTGAATGTGTCGTTTACTTCTGCCATCTAGTCACGTCACGTGATACCAAATTTAGTTCATGTTGAGCTAGCGAAACGGCCGCGAGCACGCTATGAACAAGGTATGTTGTCATGTTCTTACATGAAAAGCTTGTCAGGATTGTCATGTTTGCACCAGTCATATAGTTTCGTCATCCATTGACGTCACGTGACACCAAATTTGGTATATCTGGATATAACGAAACCGCCACGAACGCATCATGAAGGGCCCAATGTACTCCAACGTAGGCGCGTGCACGCTGGGAACAGCGACGCTACGTGAGGAAAATGCGAGCACTCTATAGTCTGACGCCAGACCCGAATGGCGCTACCAGCGTCCGTCGGCACGGCCTGACGGGAAGCGGTGCGAAATGCGACATGCCGAATTTCGTGCCAATCCGTTACCCAGACAACACTCCTTCTCCCTCTTTTAGAGGCGAAGCTCTGTATTGCGGCACCTGCTCGTCCCTCGTAGTCGTACTAGCAGTGTGTACTTAGTCTTACATTTTGACCTCCAAGGTGGTGCCGGTGGGAGATTTCTTCTGTGCGTTGTTGAACAATAAAAAATTCGCAGCGTGCGCGTTAACTAAAAGCCGAATTCTCCTGTCTTTCATTCTCCCTTAGCAGCCATTGGCATGTACATTGAGCACTATCTGACAAGAAATGGTTGCTACGTTATACTAGCTGGGCGTAACCTCCTTGGTTTTAGAAAGGTTTAGCGAGCGTTGCGCAACAGTGCCATGAATACAGAGAAACTAGTATATACCATGAACTCGAGGTGGTTAAAGGTGAGAAGTAGACACGAAGCGCAAGCCGTAAGAAAGTGCGTGTGTGCCTCTCCTCGTTCAGTCCTTGGAATTTCCGCTGGATGGCGGTGCTTCTATACGAGGAATATATGATGAAATGATGCGAGATGGTGGTACTTCGAGTGTTGAATAGGTGGACGAACGGACACACAGACAGATGCATGGACGGACGCACGAATGGACGCATGGACGGACGCAGGAGTGGATGCATGGACGAACGCAGGGATGGACGCACAGATCAACGTGCGGACGCACGAACAGACGCACGCACGGACGGGTGAATGGACGCACGGGGGCGACACAGACGCACGCATGGACGGATGGAAGCAAGAACGAATGAACGGACTGATACTTCGCCTCACTCTCCATCATTCACTCCATAGATATGCTGCCATTTTTTTCGTGACGGAGGGACACTGGACGCACTTAAACGTGCATGCATCAAAGCAACACAGCGCGGCGCACGTCTGCGAGTATGTGGCAGGACCGGCGCCTCGCATGGCAACGCCGGCATGACGCGACGAAAGGAACGCCGGCGAGCACGTGCACAGTGTCACGTAGAAGTGTATTGGCGCCTTGACCGGGGCATGTAGTTATGTTCTCACATGACACGCATCTCATGATTATCATGTTTGCACCAGTAACATACCTTCGTCATCTATTGACGTCACGTAGTACCAAAGTTGGCATATGTAGAGCTAGCGAAACGGCCGCGAGCGCATCAGGAGCGTGGCATATAGTCATGTTGTTACAAGACAGCATGTCATCATTTTCATGTTAGGGTCTGTTGATTGTGTTCACCATGCAATAATGTCATACCATACCAGTTTTACAACATGCCATGTGAACGAAACGACCGCAAGAGCTGCAGGACCATGAAATGTAAATCATGACATTCATAACACATGTCATGTTTTTCATGTTATGACTAGTCAAATATGTTTTTATACAGTCATGTTATGCCATATCAAGTTTGGTATCAATACCATTATCGAAACGGCCAGGAGAGCTAAAAGTCGTAGGCGGCTATATAGATAGATAGATAGAAAGATAGATAGATAGATAGATAGATAGATAGATAGATAGACAGACAGACAAATATAGATAGATAGATATAGATAGAAAGATAGATAGATAGATAGATAGACGGATAGATAGACAGATAGATAGATTGATAGATAGATAGATAGACAGATATAGATAGATGGATAGATAGATAGATAGATAGATAGACAGATAGATAGATAGATAGATAGATAGATAGATAGATAGATAGATAGATAGATAGATAGATAGATAGATAGATAGATAGATAGATACGCTCAAAGTCACCGATGTTCGCAAACAAATGCTTCGCATTTCAAAGCACGTCGCATGTGCGCAGCAGTGGTTGGTCTGTCTCTGTGGCCGCGTAGCGTTCACCACATCAAACGCTTGACAGTCACACCGACACCATCACAGCCTCGAGTTGAACTGGGGCCTACTCAGAATCAGCGAGTTTTTATCCGAGTTCACGCGTCCATTTCTTTGAGAGATGCCCGTGGCGAATATCGAGTCCGCGCACCACTTTTGGTCTTGCCGAGTAGCAGTGCCCACGCCGCAATGCCAGCGAGCACACGGTTCATCTACCAGCTTTATCGTGCAGACTATGCATACACGCATGCAGAAGTAAAGGTTGTGTCCCGCCGCAAGCCCTTGTGGTGCAGTCCCTCCCACTGCGAATGCTTTGTAACGCGAGCCGCCGTTCGTGTTTGCGGCTCACCCGCAGAAAATTCCAACTAGCGTGCAATGATCGCGGCCAGCGAGGCCCGCGAAGTGCTGAGCGTAGCTTCCATGCATTTAGGTTTGTGATCAGGGCGAAAGTCCCTAGACTTTTTCGTAGGGGGAGCAAACGCTATTCTAAAACTCGTATGGCACCCGCAAGTGAAGCAACGCCTGCAACACTCGCGAACGTTATTCTAAAACTCCGTACGTCTCGTTTCCGATTTCACCGTGCTCATGACATCCAATGACAGCCGCGTTGCCGACTAAGGTCCCTAGATGAAAGACGTTTCTAAGGTAGTGGCATCTTTTCCTTTTCTCCTCGCCTATGTTCCTGGAGCGTCCTCTAGAAGGTTCGAACCTTTCATCCAAAAGCGAATGTTTGGGTTCAGTTGGTATGGTGAATAGGTGTAAATGAATCAAGGTGAATAGGTGTAAATAAAACAAGATGAACAAGTGTAAATGGAACAAACTTGAACAAAATGAGCCGTAGAATAAACGGTTGCCTTTAAGGACATAAACGGTACAACACAAGAGCAAGCAGAATGTGTGTTAGTCAACTGACAACTTTGCGCAGTTATATATTTTGCACCATTAGCCATGCATGGCGTCTCACATCGTACATTGTACTTCATCCACTTATAACTCGTGCAGTTTTCCGAATGTGTTTTGTTGGTGCTGTGACACAGTGAACGCACTTCTTGCTGCATCCTGTTAGTGACCACAGGACGTGACGTTGGGACGAGTGATTACAACCCACTTTCGCACACACAAAGAAAAACCATGGCCAGACTAATACGAACGCTTCACTCGCAGCACTCTAACGGTTCTTTAAATATGCTCATTTTGACAATCGTGATGCCAGGTTTTTCTGGCGCAGTGTGGGGATCTTCCTGAAAAGTGAGAGTTCTACTGGTGAAGTGTCCCGAAGAAGCACGTTTCGACTCCTTTATGCCGCGTGGTGGTTAACTGGTCAAGCATGAAATGTTCCAGAAGGTGCATTATTTACATGCTCCTGCTGCTCTGTATACGTGCATACGCACAAGCATTTGCAACAACAGACATGCAAAAGATGCGGATTAGACGCGCTCCTGGCGTTTCAATAAAAACTGACAAATGAACTCGCTCCGCAGAACCGCATTGACGTACGTCGACGGCGTTGCAC